AGTACCATTTATGGTCGCACACACCCATTTTACATAGTATCATCCACTTTTAATACAAGTCATTCCTTTTCATCATCAGTCATCATTTAAAAGTCTTTGATATCAAGTTTAATAAGGCTTGATCCAAGGCTAAGACGTTTAAGTCTTGTTTAATATAATTTAAAAAGTATTATTATATTAAGATTTAATTATTAATTTTAAGATATGTAAAAGCTATAACGTATCTCAATTAGTTAAATATTAAGAAATAAAAAGTGGCTTTATTAAATGCGTAAAAGATATAAAAATAAGGTTAATAAAAATACTGGTAATTATCACGTTTAAAGTTATGTTTTAAGTTATTTAAAAATAATATATAATGTTTTTTAAGTTATATTATACTTAATATATAAAACAATTAATTATAAGAAATTAATAATAAAAAAGGTAAGTTAATTAATTAATTAATAAGTTATTAAGTTTATTATAAAAAAAGTAAAAGTTTAATTAATATCAAAGCTTATTTAAGTTAATATTAAAATATTAAAGAAGGTAAATAACTTAATTACGAGGGTTATTTACGAAGGTTATACGATATTAAGATAAAAAGGGAAATAAAATCAATTAAATTTATTATAAAAGAGGTAAAACCGTATAATAATTTTTATACCACAATCTTTATATATATTTAATTCGATAATAAACATCACGATCAAATCCGTTATTATTAAACAGGAATTAATATCTTTTATAAAGTATAACATATCACTTTAACGTTTAAATCTTTATAAAAGGCTTTAAATAACTGATAATAATGAACAAGACTTAGACGTCTTAGCCTTGGATCAAGCCTTATTAGACCTGATATCAAGGACTTTTAAATGATGAAACTGATGAAAAAGAATGACTTGTATTAAAAGTGGATGATACTATGTAAAATGGGTGTGTGCGACCATAAATGGTACTTATACTAAGAATATGATCACATGATCAGGGTCAAGGTCACCTGATACACCAGCACCAGTTCAATAACATTATACTTTAAAAAAACTATAAAAATTTATTAATTAAATAAGATATATAAAATAAATATGTAAAATAAAGTTATAAGTTATAAATATAAAAAAATAACAAATATATTTATATTAAATATATAATTAAATAATAATAATCGTGATTATTTAATTAAAAAAATATAATAAATATTAAACCTTTATATAACTTATGACTTAAGATTACATAATAATACCCTTGCTTTTAACAATGTAACACCACATTAGTTCATTATATAAAAGCTTTTAAAATAATCTTTTATTATTAATTTTATTTAAGTAATTTTATAATTTAATTCTTAAACTTATAAAATAATATTATATTAATATTTTAATAATTTAATAAGGTTTTTTAAAATTATAAATATTATTTTTAATTTTTAATTATATAAATAATAATTAAAAATCATATTAATCTACTTATTAATAATTAATATAAAGTTTATAACCTTATAATTATTTATTTTTAATAAATAAAAATTAAAATTAACTTTATATTAAAAAGCTTATTAATGTAATGTAATATATGCTTTATTTAACGTTTTATTTTAAATATATTATATATTTTATATTTAATTATTATAAATCTCTTAATTTTTATTTCTTTATTAATATTAATTAAATATTTTAAAATGTAAAATTTTAAATATTTTAATTTTAAATATTAATAAAAAATAATTATAATATTTAAAATTCTTATAAATTTTAAATTTAAAAGGTTATAATATATATAAAAAGTAATTTTTAAAATTTTATAAAAATATTCTTAAATATAAATTAATTATAAGATTATGAATAAAATTTTTATAATAAATTATATTTATTAACTTTATTTTAATATAATTACTTGATAATATTATTTTAAAATGAATAAATTAAAATATTTTATTAAATATATAAATAATAATTTTTAAATTTAATATTATTAAATAATATTATAAAAGTTATATCTTTTTTTATAATAATTATATATTTATTTAATTAATTATTCTTATTTTTTATCTTTTAAATATTTATTTCTTTTAAGATTTTTATTTTAATTATTAAATTAAAATTGATTTTTAAAATTAATTTTATTAAAATAATATTTAAGTTTTTATTTTTAAATATATAAAAATCTTAATAAATTTTATATTTAACATTATAATTATAATTTAAATTAATATTAATTCTTTTATATTTATTAAAATTATTTTACCGCTTTTTAAAAATCTTTATAAATTATAATAATCTTTTTTAATAATTAAATTTATTTTTAATTAATATTTTTATTTTTATTAATACCATAAATTTATTTAAAAACATCTTTAATTACCTTTTTTTTTAACACTTTTAAAAACTTATATATATTTTTATAATGTTATAACTATTTTTTAAAATATTAAAATCTTATTATATATTTTTTTATAAAAAATAATATTTTAAATAATTATTTAATTTATTAATATAAATTTTAAAATTAATATTAATATATAAAACTATTTTTAAAAATCTTTAATAATAATTAACTTTAAACATTTAACTGTAATAAAAATAATTAATTAATTATTTATTTAAACTTTTTAACTTTTAAATACCTTTATAAATAATATTATAACCTTTACATAATTATTTTAAGTTTTATATTTTAATATATATATACTTAAATAACTTTTTAAGATTTTATATATATTTTAATAATGGTTGTATGACGGCGATACGTAAGTACCTTATCGGAGATAAAGTACCTTGCCGTTAATATTAAAAAAAAGAACAATGTATCCATTATTATAAATATAAAAAGATATTATCTTATTAATTACTTTTAAATAAATTTTTTCTTTTTTAAACATTTATAATACATTAATTTTAATACCATTGTTTATTATTACTTTATTTATTACTTTTATCATATATACGTATTTATTAACATTTAAATTATATATTTAAATTATTATATAATTTTAAAGTAATATTTTAATATAATTTAAATAATTAATTAATTTTTTATTAATTATATTTAATTTTTTAAATAAAACTTTTATAAAATCTTAATTATTTAAAATTAATATTATTAATAATTAATCTTTTAATAAAATTCCTACCTTTATTATTATTTCCGGTTAAAATTTAAATAAATTAAATAATCTTTTATAATTTTAAATTTAAAATATTTAAGAAAAAAACTTAAATTAAATTTTAAATTTTCCATATATATTAACGTTATTAAAATCTATCCACTTTTAAAACTAATAACTTTAAATAAATAATATAAATGTTTCATTTTATATATTTTAATTATTAAAATATTTAAATTTAAAATTTAATAATAATATAATAAAATTTATAATAAAATAATAAATAAATAATATATATTAAATAAATAATATATAAAATTAATTAATAATATTCTTAATAATTTAATTTATTAAAATAAAATTATAAAAACATATATTATACCGCTATTTTATATGAAACTAGGGATTTTCAAGTTACCTAACATAGCTGTCGCATATAATAAGTAATGACATTTTATGACATTACAAGTTACCTTTTGGTCAAGTGGATAATCTGACAATAGTTAACTAATCTGTCAATCATATGAGCTAAGGGCGGACTCCAAATTCCGATCATCATTAAACATGGCTATATCTTTTAAATCCCGTCTTAGTAGCACGAATACCTTTCCTCGTAATGTTGCTTCACTATAAGTCGTGACTTTCAAATTGCAAATTTTGGTCTTCGAAAGAAAGTCAGGCCAAAATATTATAACAACGCAAAATTGAACTCCTTGGAGAGTATGTCAAGAGTAATCCGTACAAGTAAGTTATCCCATTCAACATACATGCATACAACTCTCTAACTATACGAAATTAATATGTTAGATGAACAGTTATCTAGACAAAGCCTTCCTCGTTTAATTTCTAGACCAAAAGACTTCTCGTTCTTCTACACATAATGCCTTCCAACTTCGCAGCGTGGCTTCCTGCTAAATGCGTGAAGCCGTTACAGATTGACCCAGCCCCTTACACACCACCTGGAGCAGGCGAGATCGTGGTTAAAAAGAGAGCCGTGGCCATCAATCCCGTTGACTGGGGTAAACAAGAGGCGGGGAATATAATCTTAGGTTATATTAATTATCCCTTCATTCAGGGTGGCGATGTAGCTGGAGATGTTGTAGAAGTCGGCTCTGATGTGAATCGCTTTCGTGTTGGAGATCGAGTTATTGGACAAGCCGTAGGGGCGGCTTCTTCGTCAAACAATCCTGTAGAAGGTGCCTTTCAGCATTACACGGTTATTCGCGAGCACCTTGCTACCGTTATTCCGGCCTGGATGTCTTACGAACAGGCGTGTGTATTACCGTTGGCGCTGCTAACAGCCGCCTACGGTCTTTTCGACCCTGGCTTTCTAGCACTCGACCCGCCTACCGTTCCTCCCCCGTCACCTAATTCTATTCAGAAGGCAATTGTCATCACGGGTGGCGCATCTAGTGTGGGAAGTAATGCTATTCAGCTTGCAGTATCGGCAGGGTACCAGGTCTACTCGACAGCATCACCTAAGAATTTTGCATATGTCTCGAGGCTGGGCGCTATACGCGTTTTTGATTACCATAGTACTACTTGGGTTGACGATTTAGTTTTGGAACTTCGGGGAAAGACGTTAGCGGGAGCATTTGCAGTCGGAGATGGTGCTGTCGAAACCTGTACTAAGGTGATATGCCAATGTGACAAAGTCGAGAAGAAGCTCGTTGCTTATGCTGGGTCTTTGATACCCTTGGATAACTTCACCTCCACTACAAGCACCGTGAGGTTTCTAGGGTCAATGATGCTTCAACTTGGCCAGAGAGCCCTAGTATCATCTTATACAGGGGTGCGTACCAAATTTATCGTGGCTGAAGACATATGCGAGCCGGATAATGTCGCCAGTCGTTTGGTGTTTCGAGATTTCCTTCCACGCGCACTGGCATCTGGACAGCTGGTGCCTGCTCCGGAGCCTCTTGTGATAGGAAAGGGGTTGGAGGTGATCCAAGAAGGGATGGAGCTTCAGAAGAAAGGGGTATCAGCACAGAAGATTGTAGTGTCGTTGTAACGCGACTGGTTTTATTTTCTTCACCTTTAGTATGATCAGCGAGACTATTCCTATTAGATAAATTGTTTATATCTCTACCATTAAATGAATACTCTTGAAAATTGTTATGAGACCTTACGCTGTATGAAGATAATACATGGACTGCCCGATAAAAATGGGCCCGGATTTCGGTAGTATAACTCCGATCGTTACCTCCGGAGATAGGGGTTTACTAAGTCTGTCCGGATGTGAATGCTACTTACCTTATATTCTATCTTCGCCTATATATTATATTAACCCGAGTTACGACTCTGAGGGAATCGTCGGCTCCGGACTTCCGCCTCTGCCCCGTCCTCTGCCTCCGCTTCAATATTATGAATTGTAAGTAGGTCAGCACACTCAAGATCCGCTATGGAAAGGAGAGGTCCAACCTACTCAGTTCCTTATGGCCAGGCCTGCATGCAATGTTTTAAGTCTAAGTGCAAATGTGTCTCTCGGCCTGGCGGGGATGGCTGCAAGAGGTCAGTACAACTACCTATTCTATCAATTATCATATTTACCTGACGGTTGACCTTGATCATCCAGATGTTATCGACTTAATAAGCAGTGTCACTCCTCAGACTCAATTCGCAGACGAAATACACAAAGAAACCATGATTCTGCGGCCAGGATTCCTCAGCTGGAAGGGAAACTAGAAGGGCTCGTATCGCTCCTTCAATCCATCACTAAGTCCCCTGATTCGTCCGATGCCCTGCACAAGCTTCTGAATGAGGGGGTAGTTAATAGCTACGAGCAACAACAGAATCTTAATACTCCTAGTTTAACCCCTAGTAATGTCGTTGGGTATAACCCCGTTCCTAGTGATAATGATGGTTCGATTATTCCACCCCTGAGTTCATCATGTCAACCAGAGATCAATGCCCCGTCCAGTACTCACACGTTTGCCTACGAGCCGCCTGCTAACGAAGTCGACGCTTATTTTACCGTCTTTCGTTCCCAGTTACAGAAACACTTTGCATTTGTCTATATCTCCCCTGATATAACAGCACAGCAGCTACGCCAAACTCGGCCATTCCTGTTCCGTGCTATCATGGCAGTTTCTTCCCCTTCCATGCAACAGAGAAGAGAAAGGGGAAAAGAGTTAAAAAAAAAGTCTTGACCCAAAATGCACTGGTTAAGAATCAATCAAATCTCGACTTGCTGCTAGGTCTGTTTACATACGTAGCTTATAGCTTCGATCCGTTTCTTAATAGGCAAGGCACATTATCTCGTCTGATGATGATAGCATTATCTCTTGCAGGTGACCTTCATCTCAACGAACCCCTACCTGAAGACGTTCATATGATAGGCCCTCTTACACCTGGGTTTTCCAATGGTTGTGGGTACCTGGTCGAGGACGCGTTAGAGGGGCAGCGAGCCGTGCTAGGGTGCTTTGTCCTGAGCTCCATGTGTGTACCTTCAAGTCATGTTACTATCGCCCTTACAGTTATTATTAGATTGAAAGATATTACTAACTCAACATTATCCCTAATAGAATATCGTCTTATTATGCCCAGATGGATGCGATGAGGTGGACGCCGCAAATGGAAGAGGCGCTCAGTCTAATGGGATTTAATAAGGAATGTCCAACCGATGAAGCAATTGCATTCCAAGTTCGTTTACAAATCTTTGTGCAAAGAGTCCGAGAATCGCGAAAAGCAAGTCACTCTTCCCTAGGCGCAATGCCCCTCCCGGGTTCATATTTACTACAAGGCATTACATGGGAAATTACAAGAACTTAAGGGGTTCTTGGCCCCTGAAGTACAGAACCGATGTAAGATGGGAATCATTTTAAGACATCAAATCGTTACTAATATAATATCAGAAATCCTTATCGCGCAAATTCATTATACTGAACTCTGCATAAATGAAACAATTCACACACCGAATTCGCAGCTGCCGCTAATGGGGGCTGGTAGCAATACAATTGGGTTGGAACGCCTAGTGTGCCTATGGCGGTCCGTAAACGCTATCAAGTCATGGTTAGACATATTTTTTACTCTATCACCTTCTGAATTGCGAGGCCTCTCATTTCTTTTCTGGGCACAAATGGCACGCTGCGTTGTAGTTCTCTATCGATTATCAACTATTGAAGATTCAGCCTGGGACTGTAAGGCCGTGCGGGACCACGTAGATGTGCGTCTAGTACTTAGCCGTATATCTGAAAAGTTGGAGCTAGCTGGCAGAGAAACGGGACAGCACCTTGATGGCAACATCTTCGTACAGCTTGCGAAATTACTTCAGAAGTTTCGTTCATGGGTTATTACCAAGATCATGTTAGATGATACTGGAGACGCACAAGTCTGGGCATATACTGATGCTGCAATCAGTGGCAGTAGCGTAGCCCAAGTTCAAGGTGAAGCTGAACGGCTCGTGGGACTTGGGGACGAGAACTGGTGGGATGAATTCTTCGTCGGGTTCAAGTAAATTTTTACGAAGTACGTATTTGATAGATTGCATCTTGCAATACAACAATGGTTAGGTACTTGAGGACAACAGACTCAATCAAAGCTTCCAACCTTTCAACCAAGACCTAGTTGTGCAAAGGTATCGCTTTAAGGGCCCCTATCAACCCGCTTACAGTTTCAACAAGGAAGTTCCAGGGCTGCGCTTTATCGGATGCGACGTTGTACACCTGAGGTTCCTCTTGAGTAGGCTAGAGACTGAAGCTCTGTAACATATTAGCAACAGTATCTACGGGGACCCAATCAATTAGGGTCACTAAGATTGGGATATATCCAAGCTTCTTTGAAGTCCGTATGATTGCCGATATCCATACTTGGTCTGCCCAAGTGCCGGCGGCCCCTTGGCTTGGGCCACCAACTTGGCCAATACGGACGATAGACACAGGTATGATCTTCTATTTGCAACAACAAGTATCCGTTCAACTGCCAATTTAAGTTGCCCGTACCCAGTATTCATTGCAGCAAGGGCATCATCGGCCGGTGCTTCGGGGACCGTTACCTTGCCAGCAAGATTTTTAACTGAAGACATGGAACTGATGAAATAATTTATATGTTACGTTTGCTTGCCGCCGACAGATGGACCAAATCTCGAGTTGCCCGCAGGAACGGTTCAAATGACCGGATCGTGAGACCAAAGTCTAACCTCCACAAATTGTAGACGACGACGTCCACGTCTTTGGCCAACAGGTTGTAGTCCTCTTGGCTAAGCCCAAGAAACGACTCCTCGAGGTTGACTTGGATATATGTAAGCTTGTGTATAAGATGGCCCAGATCATTATCTAGGGATTTAAGTGCCTTCGCTTACCTTTCTTCCTCATCACTTCAACAGGGGTGTAGATATGATTCTAGCTAGACTCTTGAGAATATTTTTCTAAACAATGAGTCCTGCTATTATACTTATTGAAGTTGAATTACGCGAGACATGATTCCAGGTACGAATAATAAAGCTGATGGGACACGTGCCAATTCCCTATGTCGAGCGTTGACACGTTGTTGGGGAGCCATCTGAATTCACGGAGCGGAGGCTATGTGAAAGGTAGCGTTGATGCTAACTTACACGGACCGATAAATACCTACCTAACCTAGGTAGGATCTCATTATGTAAGCAAATTTAGAATTTCATCAGCAGTTGTTCGAATCCGTACGAATGTCATCAATACAATTTCATATATCAATAAACGCCTGCTTAATAATTGACCTCTCAACCCTACTCGATTGATTACCTAGACCACGGCATTAATGAATCGCTTTAATATTATGGATTGCCATTTTCCGTGGCCTAAACAGCCACGAAACCTTGCATAGTATTTACAAATCACGCGTTTAGTCGAGTTGGGCATGATGTTAGTCTAGCAATGCCTATAGAGCTTTCGATCCTCACTAGTGCCAACGCAGCAGTGTGGTCAAACTGGCTATTTTGTACATATCGCTGGTAAATCTAAGGGTGTGTGGTTGACCCTAGCCAAGAAGGGTGCCACAGCCACGACCTCGCTCACATATCCCCAAGCACTTGATGAAGCACTCTGTTACGGGTGGATTGATGGACAGACCCTCAAGGACGATGGAGAGAATGCGCTTACGTCCTACTCACAGCGGTTCACACCGCGTGAACCGCGGAGCAGCTGGTCGAAGCGAAATGTCGCACATGTAGCACATCTTGAACGCGAGGGCCGAATGACAGATGCGGGACGACGCGTCATCGAGGCTGCTAAAGCATACGGGCGCTGGGGATCTGCATACGAGGGCCAAGAAATGGCGGAGTTCCCAGAAGAGTTCCTCGTCTCTATTGTGGCCGTACTCGCAGCAAAAACTGCCTTCGGGGCATTAACGCGGCAGAATCGCTTTTTAATGTGCTATCGCCTGAAATCGCTGAAGACTCAAGCTGGGCGCGAGAAGAGAACATCTGCATTTGTTGCCATGTTAGCGCATGGCGAGGTGCCGTATTCGCAGAAACAATCTGTGCGGTCTTTGAGCCCAACGACGTCAAACAGTAGCTCAGCTAGAAGAGAGAAGAAACCAACTGTATCTAACATTCACCAAGCAGTGCGAAGGTCTGCGCGCGTGTCTCAGCGCACAAGATGCCTTCCCAGCAAATAGAGGGTACTGGTACCATCAAGGATGGCGTAATATCATGGGGATTTGACTTCAACCCAGTATGAAAGACCCTCGTTAACAATAGATACCTACCCATTAGCGGCGGTGGTGGTCGGGTTACATGTAAATAAGATGAGCCCAGCTTTACTATTACACCAAGCCAGAGGTAAGGCTATTCCCACCCTTATTCACATTACATGAGCATTACATGAACATTACTTTCCGTCTTCATCCCTAATTTTCTCGTCTATTAGATTACAGGTATAATCATACGTTTTACTACTTCTTTTGTTTCGATCCGTGTTTCCCTAACCTTTTTTCCTAATTGCGGCGTATACGCTAGATCTGCTGGGAAGCATTCAGTCGATAACTCTCGCTTCGCTCCATCAACTCGCTATGGCTGCCCTTGTCTACAATTTTTCCTCCTTCTACGACTAAAATGACGTCGGCTTTTTGAATGGTATGGAGTCTATGGGTTATAGCAATCACTGTACTTCCTCGTGCAGCAAAATTTTCTATACCCAATCTAACAGCTCGTTCGCTCTCAGCATCCAAAGCGCTTGACGGTTCATCAAGCAGTAGAAGACTCGGATGCCGTACTAAAGCACGTGCAACTGCGACCCTCTGACGTTGACCGCCCGAAAGACGCGAACCATTCGGTCCACATTCCGTGTCGTAACCCTGCGGAAGTCCCATAATGGTGTCATGAATGTTTGCTATACGACAAGCGTCCTCAATTTCGACTTCGCTAGCCTCGTGACCCGGACGAGCGCCAAGGCCGACGTTAAACTTGATGCTACCATTAAACAATGCACTGTCTTGTGGTACGACAGCAATATTCTCGCGGAAATCGGCGTTATCGCGAAGGGAAATATCCATTCCGTTTATCTCCACAGACCCTGCTGACGGGGAATACATTCCCTGGATGAGGCTCATGATGGTTGATTTTCCAGCCCCTGAAGGTCCTACAATGCCGAGAAATTGGCCGGGTTGGACCGTGAAGGAAACTCCCCCAAGACTTGGTTGATCTGGTCGAGATGGATAGGCAAAAGCAACATTTCGGAATGCGACACTCGCGCCTTTGGATGCTTCCGAGTTTCTTTTCGGGGACTTGCTCTCTGCTTCCGCTTCTATATCGCGGCCACTATTCCCGTCCGCGAAGTTGTGGCTATCTGCTAAGCCAAGGATCTCTGAAGGCTTAGCAAGTCTTCTATCGCTTCCTAGATTAATAAGGCTCAGTGTTCTCGATGCCGCACTCTTGGCTCGCGAAAATTCAGGCGCGAGGGAAAACATCTGACCCCATAATGTCGCACTAACCAGCATCGAGACTTGCACGATATAAAACTGCGTCTGGGTGTATTCGCCGCGCATGATAAGTTGTGAACCCCACCAGTAAGATAGTGAGTAAATAAATAGGCCTGTGCTATTAGCGATGGAGAGGTAGAGAGAGGCATGTAATGCCTCTCCGATCATGCTCGCTTTCGGTTTTTTCAACGCTCTTCGGTACCTGTTGATTATTTCATCCTCTAACGAAAAACTCGTGACGGTTTTAATCTGATTGACAGCTTCCACAGTTATGCCTATTGCCTCGATAAACGCTTTGTGGCTTCTTTCTTGATGTCGAGAAGTGACTCGGATTTGAAGGATTCCAGCTCCGAGTAAAATAGGCACCATGGCTAAGCAGACGAGGGCAATTTTCCATGCGAAGGCATGACTAATTATTATAGCAACGAAGAAGTTGATTAGGATAGAGAGTGCTGTAGCGATGATGCTCCCGCTGAACGCTGCTATTGAGGCGCCATCCTTTGTTATAATAGTGAGAAGAGATGTTGGCGTTCGATTCTCGGAGTTATGCCATTCGACACTCTGATTTAATAATGTCCTAAAGCTCAGAATACGAACTCGATAGACCAGGTTCTCCGATATTCTGCCAAAAACAGACCAGCTACCCACATTAGCAAGGAATTCAACGACGGCAAGCATAAAGACGAGGCCGCTGAAGAAGTAACCCAAGTATAGAATACTCGATGCGGTGGCATCACAGGCACTGAGAGCACTGACCGTGTGGCCAAATATCAGAGCCATTGCCGAGAACGTGCAGCCGACGACCATTGCACAAGGCACAGCAATAACAAACCAGCCATAGTCAGGTCTAATTAGCCACCTCATGCCAGCCAGGACATCACTAGATGAGAGAGACTCGCCAATCCCAGCCGGAGCAACCTTGCTAAGAGTGACTTGAGCATCCTCTTCTGCTAATCTACTTTTCTCAAGTTGTAATTCTTTAGTCGCTGTGTCATCTAAAGATTCTGCATCCGTATTATTCAGGGACGATAACTCCGAGCCCTTCCCTGTCGGATTATCTAGACCCTGTAAGGCAAGTAGATTTGCGAAAGCACCGCCCCGTTCTTGAAGCTCTTGGTATGTGCCTTGCTCAACTACTTCACCTCCTTGCATGACGATAACATGATCGACGTGGGAGATTGTTGAGAGTCGATGTGCAATAGAGATAATAGTCCTACCGGTGGTTATTCTGTCGATGCTTGCCTGTATTCTCTTTTCTGTGGTCGAATCTAACGACGCTGTGGCCTCATCAAGAATCAGGACCTTGGGGTCTCGGATTAATGATCTAGCCAGAGCAATCCTCTGAGCTTGACCGCCGCTTACGAGCCCCATGCCAATCTTCGTACCAAACCCTTGATCAAGGGCGTCAATGAAAGTTAGATCAGCTAAATTGGCTGCCTTCTGGACCAGGTCGGAAATTTCCGCGATGGCCCCCCCTTTGCTGGCTGCTTCCTTTAAAATATCACCTGAACAGGTATTAACAAAGTCCTCTAATTCAGCTCCCACAATTATAGATCTAAGGTTCTCGTGTTCGGGTCGAGAGGAGTTCGCAAGGCCAAGAGCAATGTTCTCGAAAATGGAGCGCCTAAAGAGCTCGGACTCCTGTTGAACTAAACTAACGTATCCTCTCAAGTTTCTGGGGCTTAGCAGCTGTATATTTACACCATCGAATGCGACAGTACCGGTAGTCGGCTTATAAAGACGGTTTATCAAAGCTGCGATCGTAGACTTTCCACTGCCGGATTGTCCGACGATAGCGGTATGCTTCCCTGCTGCGAAAGTCAAATCCACATTGTTCAGTGCTAAGCTTTCAGGCCTGGACGGATACGTAAAGGATACACCACTCATTTTAATGCAGCCAAGAGCATTCGAGGGGAGTTTCCCTCCAGAATTAACATCAATGGGCGAATGATGGTCCATATCAGCCCTAATCCTCTCGTAAGCTGAAGAAGCAGCTCCAAAAATTGGAAAAAGGGGCGCGAGTCCACCAAGAATTATACAGGCATCAACAAGTAAGAAAACAACAGTATACACTTGGCCAAAGGTCGCGTCTCCCTTGCCACTGACAGCATCTGCAATCATACGACTTCCCTGCCAGTAAGCTAAAGCGTTGGAGCTGTACGCAATAAAATATAGCAAACCAGCTTGTATGCCAGCAACGACACTTTTCTTCTTTGCAAATTTATGTGCGAGCGCCATATGTTTCGAGAACTTGGCCTCGAGCCTTGGTCCTGCATCAAAAGCCCGGACGATAGCAATGCGAGAGAGTGCCTCTGATGCTATAGATCCCCCCGCGGCGAATGATGTAGCGGATTTCGCAGCGAATTTCTTGAAGAAGTAACTGCCAGCGAAAGTTAAGGCTACGAACGCCGGAGTAAGCGAGAAAAGTATTGCCGCTAAAACGGGTTGTTTGATGAAAGCGACAATAAATGCCGTTACGAAGAAGCTTGATTGACCGATGAATCTGCCAACTTTCTCGCTCGTGCCGGTCTGAATAGCCGTGAACTCGTCATCTAATCGGGCACTTATTTCGCCGGCATGTTTATCGTCGAAGAAGCTAACTTCCTGGCGCAAGATGTGCTGAAGGTAGCGATCCCTCAATCTATGCATTAATCGTTGGGACTGCACGTTCCAGCACACTGTGTACAAATACACGAGAACGAACTGCGCGGCGGCGAGAGCAACAAGTTTTACGAGAATGCCATCAATAGTACCCCTATACTGAGTCGTGTCGATATTTGATCGAACATCGCATGTCAATCCGTTGAGATTATTGACAAGTTCACCGAAAAGGATGGCTATGAGCGGGTAAGGAGTACCGGCCGCTATAGCGAAGATTGCGCCACCAATGACGAGACAGAGGTCCAGCCATGTTGGATTAGAGAACAGAAGGAGATGGATGAAAGTAAAAAGCTTTTGTCGTGCCTATCCGTGCGGTTAGAGACTATATGAAGATCTAGGGGGGGGTGAATAAGTGTATCTGTAAACATTACCTACCAGTTTGTCCTTCGAAAAACTGTCAGTCGGACCTCCCTTTTCTTCCGCCATTGTTGGTGATGCTTTCCTACACACGACCGCACATTCGCATGTTGTCTGGTTGTTGCTGCTAGCAGAAACAGAAAAAAGCACTTAGCACTGGATATCAATATCGCAACTATTGACCCAACTACCCAACTCAAACCCCGGGCCGCGACCGGCCAGGAAATTGCGCATAGCGCATCCAGATAGCTTGGCACTTTCTAGGCACTGGGCGTACCTCCTTTCTTCCCTGTATAATATGGCAGCTGCATGGGTAACGTGGTAGTCGCCTACCGAGTAGGCACCGTTGGAGCACCGTTGGATCTTTTCGGATCTGATAAAAAATACGACGGATCTGATAACCATCAAAAGTGGAGACATACCGGTTCATTTACTCCGTACGACTATTTTTACGTAACTACCCTTGCCATGCCCTCCCTCCCCTTTACTCTATAAACGCAATTCGAGGAATACAAGTACACCATCTTCATCTAACTAAAGCCCTCAGCAGTTGATAAAATGATCTGATAAAATAGCAGTGGGCATAAATGTTACCGTTGCATCCTCTCCCCCACTCCCTACCCGGTAACTCCCCTTTCCACATATTAGTATTCCCCGCCAAGATATTGTCCACACTCCGAGCATCTATAGTTATGACTTGGCACGCTCTAGTTTTGACATGGTGGATCGCAAGTGAGAATATGTCATCTGTACGAAAATGTCTAATAGCTCCTGCTTATTAGAGTAACTAAATTCGCTGATCCTTTCAAGACACAACACATTTCCTACACCTGCCCTCGTTACTAGCTCTTCATCTTAGTATGCCTCTTACGCCCTAGAATTTGCGTTCACTACGACTAAGAACATCGAAGGAGAGTCAACCAAAAAAAAAGTGAAGAATAAGATCGCAAAGTCATAGACAGGCAGATGATTGAATGTGTATTATTCTACTAAGATTTCTAAGCTAAGGGGTATTCAATAAATAAATGACACCTAGTTTTGAAATCAGGATAGACTTAAGCGTCTGAAGAAGCAGCATCTTTTAGGATAGCATCGCTAGCCTTTTCGCTTGCCATGAAAAGAGAAATCAATGGAAATGTTCCTGGAGTCTCCGGAAAGGCTGAAGCATCCACTACCCTCAAGCCCTTCACACCCCTCACACGGAAGTTAGAATCTAGGACAGCGAGGGGATCATCGCCGCCGCCGATAGCAGCCGTGCTTGAAGCGTGGTGCCCATATGCCTGATCACGGACATATTGCTTGAGCTGGTCCTGAGTTTTTACGTCCTCCCCAGGATATACCTCCCTAGTTAAGCCGTCGAAACCCGGTACCGACTTGAAGATCTTACGTGCAAACTCAATGCCATCAACCAGACCTTGTACATCTTTGTCTCCGCCATCAGAAAAATATTCAAAGTTGATCTCTGGAACGTCCCTCGGATCAGAACTGCGGAGTGTGACGGTGCCGGCGCGATTTCGCGAGTGTGATTCCGATATAGTGTAAGTATACACATCTTTAGCACTTAAGACACCAGTCCAATTAGTGTATGGTGGCAAATGGCCTAATATACCCTCGGTTGCGCCATACAAGATTAAATCCCGTTCGCCCGCGCGAGGAGTCACCGAGCTTGTTTTCAAGACGAAGTTAAAAAAGCCAAGAGTTGACCAAGGACCAGTTCCATTCTTTTCCCACCTCTCGTAGCATGGATTCACCTGGCCCTCGGGGACATAGCATTCGTCCCAGAAGGTAAAATTGGTTGGGAACTCCTGGATAACGGGAACTTCGTAATGGTCCTGGAGATTTCGACCAACACCCGGTAAGTCCACAACCACAGGGATGCTGTGCTTATTCAGTTCGGTAGCTGGGCCAATGCCACTGAGTAATAGGATTTGAGGAGTGTTGAAAGCGCCTGCCGAAACAATGACTTCGCGCTTAGCTGTTGCAGTTCGACGTACTCCTGTATTATTTCTCGTAGCACGAGGGTCAGCCATATAGATACTTTCTCCTTCTAGATATTCCACTCCCGTTGCCCTTAAAGCATCGTCTATTAACACTTTTGTGACGAGACTATCAAATCGGACATTCAGTGGTAGGCCTTTCGAAACACCCTCGTTCACCCTGGAACCCGAAGAAAATCGACGACCGAGCTCGTCTTTCTTAAAGCTGATTTGATATACGTCATTCTGAAGATCACGATCTGGGGATACCTCGTTGATATCTTTTTGGGCAATGACATCGAAGTCTTGCGAACTGGCCCTGACTGTGAGTCCCAAGGCAGCAGCAGAACCTTGAGCTACTGCAAGTATCTGTGGCTCGTTCTCGAATAGTGACTTGTCTCCACGACCAACGGGCTGGTATCCAGAAAATCCATGGCCAGGTGTTGAAGGTGGCAAAAAGAGATTGCGCTCTAGCTTTTCGAAATAGTTAAGCATGTGATCGTGAGTCCAACTAGAATCGCCAGTAAGATTTGCAATATTGTCCCAGTCCCAGTCCGACGGTCTGACAGTAAGCCCACCATTATGTGTGTCACAGCCTCCTAGCGTCCCAGCCCGAGGATACCAGACTCCAAGAGGATTTGATCCCTCCGGAGGATCTCGTCCAACCCAGTAGCTGCCATCTGGCTTTTCCCAAACCATTTTGTCGTTTCGAGCAGCCTGGGTTTCATTGCTATAGTCTTTCACATAAAACTCCCAAGATTGAGCGGGATCCCACTGGGCCTCCCCGATGAAAGCAGGAATCAATTGACTATTGTTACCAGTGTAGTTTCTACCTGCCTCCAGAAGGAGTACAGACCACCCTGCTTGGGCTAAATTCACTGCCAAAGGTCCTCCTCCAGGGCCAGAGCCAACAACAATATAGTCGAAATGGTCATCTTCGATGCTCTGCGTGGAATTTTGATACGACGGGGCGGATAAGACTGAGGGGGCAAGGAGAAGGAAGCTTATTATAATTGAGGAGAGCATTATGAAGATTTAGAACCGACGGCTCTATCTTTAAGGAAGGAGTCCAGTTATTGTTAAAGTATGTAAAGTCTAAACATCACGATTGCAATATGAGATTATATACTCTGGTATCTCGTACTAAAAATCACGTTATGGATTCATTATAATATCGCAAACCCAGTTCTGAAGCATGCTCATACCGATCTCGCAATATTAAGCAAGGGTGTCATCGAGGTCTAACTAGGATTTGCTTGTCCATGATGATGATCATGAAAAATTTTATTAATAGTCAAAACACCCTTACTGGGGCCACCTTAGTGGGAGCCACCCATTTCCCATACAAAATCAACAATTTCGCATATGTATATTTAATTTAAGAAAATAAATAAAAGTATACGGTCTTTGATTTTGAATAAGATATTATATTATTATTATATATAAAAATTGAAAAAAATATCAAGGTTAATATTTGTAATAAAGTAAATATAAAAATATACATTAACAATTATACATATAAACTTATATATAAAATTATTAAAGGCTATTAATACTTATAATTTTATCAATTAATATTATTAAATAAAGACCGTTTTAATATAATTTTTAAATTAAATATAAAATATATAACTTATTTATTTAAAAATTTTATTATTTAATTTTATATAATGTTGGGATAACGGTCACGTGACCTCGTCACATGACCAGGGTTATGCCCACACACACCGCCCACGCACAGCCCACGCATTTGTACAATAGATATCTTTCCCCACTCGGGGGAACCCCTCCTCTCTTACCTTAGTACAACCAAATCAGAACACGATCGTTATTTGCATTCCCTTTCATATTATTACGTAATACATAGTCAATCCAACATATAAGAATTTTATTAAATTATTATAAAACCTTATAAACGTTTATAGCTTTTTAAATAAATAAGTTATATATTTAGTTTTAATCGTAAAAATTATATCAAAATGTTACTTATTTAACAATATAGATTTTACATTTATACCATATTAATTAGTAAAATTTATATATATAATTATTAATATACACTCTTATATTCATTTCACCACAAATATTAACCCTACCATTTTTCCAAAATTTTATACCTAATAAAAATCCAATACCATACTCAAAATCAAAAACCGTATATTTTTATCTATTTTCTTAAATTAAATATAAATATGCAAAATCGTTAATTTTGTATAGGAAATGGATGGCCCCCACTAAGGTGGCCCCAGTAAGGGTGGTTTAACTACCATAACTGTTTATCCCAATGAGATTGAAGCCCCTTTGTCAGACCTGAACCGGAGGTAAGGGCCATCGACGTTACCGTTATTGGACGACCCAATGCTACGCCATTATGTCCTATATTCTCTTCGGTCGGCCCGGCAAGGGAATGTGTTGGCACATGCGGTACTACAATGTATTCGCATCTAACATACGGGCTCTCATGCACAATGATGATCAGATAAGATTAAGGTGACATCCTGACTAGGGGTAGGAGTCGAGATCCACACAAACATACCAATCCACCTCCTCAGGAGCGCCTAGTTTCTTAATATGTACAAATGCAGGGGGTCCACTGCTGGATACCTAGTTACATTTTATAAATCTACCATAGGCCACTTGTGCGTCAAGATCAATGTATCGCCCATCATTAATCCCTCAAAATGTTATACTATGAACAATATGTTACGACCGAGGTGATGTTAATCAGAGAATACCGTATAATTACATACTAGCTAGGTAGGAATAGAATATTATATAAATGGCAGTATTTGCAATGTTCTAACGTGCCTCTTAGCAGTGTAAACTGGTGACATTTAAGATACGCACGAGCACCTTTTCTACATCATGTTTAACCTATCAAGCCAATAAATCTTAAAGGGGATGAGCATAATGTATTAATACCAAGCTATATGTGACGAACACAGAAAGGTTGTCTAGTTGGTAGGGTTTCCTCAAGAGACATATGTGCTGGCGGAGCTTTGACGGTACGACAATATGATAGTAAGTCAACTAGAGCTCTTTCTCTCTTCTCCTTAAACGTGATACCTCATGTAGCTATAGCAACTACCAAATAAATAAGTAGTTGAACGAAAATAATGGCTGGATTGGCCATTTAGACGATATCAAGCTCCTAGCACCGGACTTTCTGCTCCTTGCTCAACTTTAGTCAGACTTCGGCCGGAGTGCGAGATTGGATATGAAGTCGAAGTCCTGTTCCCCCTGCGCCTTTGGCTTTTGGTTGTTTGACGGGCGGTTAGATTTGCGCTTCTGGGGAACGAGAAACGGACCTTTATTGGAACCGACGTAGTGTTGATTTGTTGTCTTGTCTGGTAACTTACCGTGTTTCATGTGGCCGTCGTTTCCTATGACGAACTGGCTGGCGCTGCTGAAAGGGATGATGTCGCTCATATTCGCGAGTTCAAGTTCTGGGCCTGCATATGGTTGTTCTCGAGTGCTGATACAATGATTGCAGAGGTCGACAAACTGCTGTACAAGGCGTGCCACTTCGCTGTCTTGGGTAGTAGGGTGGAATTTTTCTTGTCGTCGTCTCTTGAGACATTGATCTCTGGCCTCGATGAAAAGGTAAATGAGCTCGCTAAGTTCCCGGTCAGAGAGGCTCCGAACCCAGAGAACTTTGTCTTTGATAGCACGGAGGAATACGGATTGAAATGCAAGATTGCTGATATCACATTTCTCGTCGTACTTGGATTCCATATAGGCGTCGATCATTCCTCGAAAGACTTTCTTCATTTGCTCTTGGGCGACCCCGGTGGTAGCCCCGTCCGGACCCCAGGCACCAAGCAGTGAGGTCTTGAGGCCATCGGCAACTCTAATAGAGGTCCAACAAAGTCCCTTGCTCTTAAGGATCGATTCGAAATGTTCCGTTGGAGCGTCCATGGCTATCGTGGTATTACACTAGAGGGTGTGTTTTAAAAGGACTATTGGATGGTGGAATGAAGTTCATAGGTTGTTGGGATGTAATATATCTAGGTAGAAGTTATAAATAGTTGAGCAGCTGAGCCGAGAGGTAACGTGTATTTATGTAAATGTTTTCTTAGTAAAAGATGCAAGAGCTGGGCAGTGATAGGCTACAGGTGCGTAAGTGTCAGGCGAGGCAAACAGACAGTTGCTAGGAAACGAGTTCACATGAGCTGTTTGATCGATTCATTACATGTTTGCCAGCAAGGTCGTTAAAGCCTACAAAGATTGCACCTATGTACGCATCTATATGGCGTGTTGAATTTAATGTTCATTAACAACCGTTTACTTTAGTCTTTAGCCCTCGTTGAACTATATGTTACCTAAATCCTCATAGAAATCCTCCCGACACTTAAGTATCAGGTAGGATCCATTGTGACTTGCTGTGAAGTTATCAAATAATTAGAACTCCGCTCGCTATTCCCTCTCCTAACCCACCCCTAGTGCTCCAGCCCCTATTTCGCCGAGGCTACCCGTCGCGCGTCTGAAGTCGAAATACCACAGCGTTTTAGCAACTGTGATAGAAACTTCCGAGTATTCCACAGCCTGATCTACGCATTCTCATGGACCGACCGAAAGTGGGACGAAGGCGTCACGCATGGTCTTTTTTTCTCCGATATTGTGGCACTGTCTAACCACTTTTCGGGTTTATAGGCGAATGAATCAGGGAAGTACTCTACGTTGTGGTGGATGGAATAATTTTCACGCCCGCTACAGTACCCTGAGGGATTATGTGCTCGTCGACAATGAAAGGTTGATCACCAGCGCCGTGAAGGCATTTCCAGAGAACCCCAGAGGCAGGTGGGGACACCCGTAGAGCTTCATCAGTGTAGGCCTGGAGGTAATGACAAGTTGTCAAAGCCGGTCCCCGGATCTCACTCCCAACTGTAAAGGTGGATCTAATCTCATGCACTAGTTTCTTGTAGCAGCCGTCGTTACGTGAGAGGTAGAAGAAAACGGCACAGAGTACTGTTTTTACGGTATCTACAGCTGGCATGTTTCGCTTAGCAAATAGAAATTCAACAAGAAAGGTGGCAGGGTCCAGTATCAGTGACTTACTTGCGACTAGGAAAAGATTTGCTTCAACCCAAAGCTCGCTCTGTCGAAGACCACCACTCTCGGAGTCTAATGCATCTGCGAGAACATAATATTAAAGGTCACGTTGAGCATCCCTATCCCGTCTTTGACGAGACGCGATCATCATCTCCACCACAGAGAGATATTTACCTCTTAACTGGCAGAAAACCCGCAAGCTGGCTAATCCAAGCCGGAACCTGCGAGAATTAAGCCATGCACTGCTCCAGAGCGACCCGGCGTGAAGCGTATGAAACACGAATCTATTCTCCTCGTTAGTCTAGAGGTCGAGGTCGAAAAGACCAGCAACATTAAGCCCTAAGTATTTAGATCGCTCGGTTATATTAACTGGAACGGTCATTTGTATAGCCAATCCTGGCCCCAAGGCAACGTACGACTCTGGTTTCGTAGTCCGACCATTCTTGTATATGTCTTCCACTTTAATGTCAACAACATATCGAAAGCTAACTCCTCGTAGTTGATCTCGCCTTGCAAGGCCTTGATCAATTTAAAGATAAAGTTATTAGGCCCTTGTCTTATAACAGCACCTATATTTAAAGACCAGCTATTGTCTTTACAGGTCAGTATCGTTAGTATTAGAGTAGACTTCGATACAGACTTCTGTTCGAGAAACCATGGAATAGTTACTGACTACCTAACTTGCCTTGGGTAGTTAAAGAAGGGAAAGGAGGGCATAGATGATATATGATGGTGTAACTCTGAACTCAGCTAGGGCCGACCTTATAGTGAAAGAGTTCGCAATGTCCTTGATTACCTACCTATTAAGGTGGTGACAACGGCGTCGATAGGGTGCTCAGTCATGCCTACTAGAACGGACCGGTTACATTTAAATAACTAACGGATAACGACTGAATATCTATCTAACCTCAGGTAAGAAGCCAAGAGGTTATCGGTTACTAGACGCCAGAATATGGGGAAGATCATTTTCCAGTTCTTGATGCTAATGAAAGCGCCTACAAGCTGTTTCAAACTTTGTTTAATTAGTTCCCCTTTTCAAGCTCCTGGATGATATCTTCCACCTTCGCAAATAATAGTTCAGACATAGCCTCATTGATCTCGCCTATTGTAATTGGGGAGACTGATAAATTAGAAAATTACCCAAGTTTAGATTCCTTGATATATGATCAATTGTTCCTTGTCTCCAATACCATGAGTCTTATCAGGACTATAGCAACTTCTTCCCTTGACAATTGATATCGACAGAGCATTCAGGGCTTAGAGATTGACGTTCTTCTCTCAATGATCTCGGTAGCACTCCACTGTCCAACAATCCCATCCTCTGAATCACCTAGAAAGGGATCTTTCTCTGGCTTCGGAATATTCCACGAAGTCTCAAAGTCTCCCACGTCCTCTTCCCCAATAGAGAAGTCCCAGTGGCCGCAGTTCTTAGGGTAAGCGCCCACCATCGTGAACCCAGAAACCAGTATATTGGCTAAACACTCCCGGGCATTGGGACCAGGTATCCCGTGTCCATCGCCTGGTGATAACAGACTAAATTCTGCGCTAGGGCTAGTATTATATGTCTTATGAGCTACACCGGCAGGGATTATGAAAACATCTCCAATGCTAGCCGTCACCTCTATCCCTCCCTCTTCCTTTGCGCCACCCCAGGTATTCTTATCAAGGTCAGGATCCGTATCCGCGACACCAAATCTAATAGTTGCCCTGCCAGAGAGCACGACCATAGCTTCATGGATTCGTGAATGATAATGCGATGGCTGAGTTGAGCCATACCGAAATATCCACTGTGTTTCCCAGTGATTTTTATCGAGCGTGTCATGGATAGCATCAGGTCGACGTTCGGAGGGGGCGACCAAGAGTCCTTTATAATAAAGCAGAGGCCATGGAGAATTAGGTATGAGGCGAGTAGGCGGAAGATAGTACTTCTCAACTTCAACCATGTTCATATGGGATAGTATAACTAGGTACCTAGGTAATAAACCGAAGAGGTTTTATGATCGTAGATAACTCCTTAAGCTAGTTATAGGGGCTTTGGTTGTAAGTCGTACTTAAGGTATGGATTTCATTCGCGAAATCCGAAGCCCCGCACTTTGATTGGCAGCGATAGCATCTTTCATGGCGACGGATTTAAGACTTAGCACTTAACGCTGTCTTGCAGTAAATACTTTGATTCAGCTTTTGCATAGTTATAACATTACCAATTCTGTTTGCCGCAACTTACCCGGCAATTATATCTTATATTAAGTGCTTCATGACAGTTTTGGTATCCTGTGAAAAATATTACTCCTTTTCCCTTTTGAGTATAAGATATATATATGCTGGCTTGACAGTATTACCTAGCTTAGCTTTTTTATAGTATCAACTATCATATATAATAGAAACCTAAGAAAGGAGCACATTAAAACTTAGCCTCATCATCATTATAGTTTATATTACGAGATTGTAATAGTTTATTGGACTTTAGGATGGGTGAAAGCCAATTTTTAAAGGTAGCCATCACTATAATCGATGACTATTATATTGGCCATAAACACTTGATATAGAAGAGCTTCAAGCCACCTTCCTTAGTTTGCCATCCGAGATAAGGTGAATTGATATGGGCTGCCAAGCGCCGGCCGGCATCGGCCTACTCAAGCAAGATACAGTAACATCAATCAAAGTCATTATCAAAGCTCCGTATCGCGTATCGCGTATCGCGTATCGCGTATCGTGGTTGCGGGGCTTGCATTTAACATTGGTATAAGAGTAAGTCGAAACACCCTTACTGGGGCCACCCTAGTGGGGGCCACCCATTTCCCATACAAAATCAACGATTTCGCATATTTATATTTAATTCAAG